TCAAGTTTGAATCACTGCGTCTTAGTACAACAAGATCTAGATAGATTTTATCATTATGTTTCGCAAAATTGTTTAGATTTAAATATTGACAAATGCAAAATAATACGCTTTTATAAAATATCAAAACCATTTCAATTTAACTACAATTTCAATAATATCAATTTAGAATGTGTTAATAAAAGAATTTGTACTGCTCTCTTATTAGACCTGTTTTGGAATATGCTTCAACGGTTTGGTCTCCTGTCTATGATGTTCATATTAATAGTTTAGAGAAAGTACAGGGTGTCCGAATTTGGATGGTTTAATAGGAAACATCAATTTCTGAGCAAGATACAAAAAAATGAACCCCCCACTCCGAAGCTCAGATTTTTTGAAATTTTGATTGGTGCAAACCGCATTTTGATATCTTCAACCGTTTAGCCGCTAGAGGGCGATTCTTGATTTTGAGCAATAATGTGAAACCATCATAACTTTTTTGTTTATGAAAATTATTGATTTCCGTAAAAACTTTCTAGAAGCACTTTTTTAAGCAGAATTCAGTGACGTTTTCAGTTTTTTTCTATTGGGTCTCGGTTTCAAAATATTGACCAAAATCCGATTTTTTTCAATGGGACACCCTATATATTAATAGCTCTTTAGAAAGCTCTGCTTTTGCTGATTTCAATGATACAAATTTCAATGGATTTATCTCTAGCAGTTTTCCAGAAAAAAAAGTATTTTGGTTTTTGTCATAAGAAACAATGAGTTAAAAAGAGACCTTTCTCATTTTCCTTACAAATATAAAGACCTGTTTTAACACATTGTTTCTTATGGAAAAAAACGAAAAAATCTTTTTTTTCGAAAACTGTTAGAGATAAACCTATCGAAATTTATATCATTGAAATCAGGAGAAGGAAAGCTTTTAGGAGAGCTATTAATATATAGGGTGTCCCATTGAAAAAAAGCGGATTTTGGTCAATATCTTGAAATTAAGGCCCAATAGAAAAAAACTGAAAACGTCACTGAATTCTGTTTGAAAAAGTGCCTTTAGGAAGTTTTTACGGAAATCAGTTATTTTTATAAACAAAAAAGTTATGAAGATTTCACAGTATTGCTCAAAATCGAGAATCGCCCTCTAGCGGCTAAACGGTTGAAGATATCAAAATGCGGTTTGCACCAATCAAAATTTCAAGACATTGGAGCCTCGGAGTGGGGGATTCATTTTTTTGTATCTCGCTCAGAAATTGACGTTTCCTATTAACCATCCAAATTCGGACACCCTGTACAAAGAAAATTTTTCAGATTTATACGCTACAAACCATTCCTGTGGAGTCAATAGATTACCATGACATTAGTAAATTATTAAATTTACCAAAATTGGGAGATAGAAGAGACTTTCTAGACCTAATCTTTTTATACAAAATCTTAAATGGATTGATAGATTCACCCACTTTGTTACAAAAAATATCGTTTACTGTTCCTCAGGTCAACCTAAGACACCATGAACTGTTTTTTGTTGAATATCATAGAACAAATTATGGATAGATATTTATATTCATATTTATATTCATTGTGTATCTATACCTCTGTACTTTTTGAAATGGTTAATCCGTTAATAAACCTTTACTTTACCTTTACTTTAATATTTATTTTATTTTTTTTATTTATTTTATTTATTTCACATTACATTATATATAAAAAAATATACAAAATATGAAGTGAAATATCGTCATTAATTATTTATTTACCACTTACTACTACTAAAGTACCAAGTGGTAACTTCTTAACATAAGATTACTAAATTATCTGAAACCAATGTCCTATCAACAACTAGACATCCTTAACCTATTCACTACTTAATACTATCTACGTAAGTAGTCATCCATACTATATGGTTCCAAGTTGATTAAGAGGGCTTTTAGTTTTCTTTTAAAGATCCTTTCTGTAGTTATACTTTTTGTACTTTCATCTAACTTGTTGAAAAGTCTTATTCCCATATAGTATGGATGCTTCTCTGACAATGTCAGCCTATGCACAGGGAAATTGATATTGTTAGTGCGTGTATTATGACCTAGAGCATTGAAGATATCTTTATTTTTAAATGCAAACAAAATAGTTTCAAATATATACAAGGCGAAAATAGTTAACAAATTTTTAGATCTGAAAACACCTCGACAGGATTGTAGAGGAGGCATTTTGTAGATAGTTCGAATCACCCTTTTTTGAACAGTAAAAATGTCCTGCACCCCGGAGTTTGCTGCCCAGTAGATTATGCCGTACCTAGCTGTACCCTCATAGTTTGCAAAATACAGAGTTCTTTTTGCAGGTTCATCCAAATACCTTGCCACAATACGAATACAGTAACAAACTTTGTTCAGTTTACCTTTCAAATATTCGACATGGCTAGACCAGTCTAAAAATTCATCTACATAAATACCTAGAAATTTAGTGCTATTTTTAATTTCAAGATCAATTTCACCCATCGTAATTGATTCGGGTTTTTTAGTTTTATTTAATTTTGTTCTGAATAGTATAGTATTAGTTTTATCTTTATTTAGTAATAATTTATTTTTTTCAAACCAATCATTTACTAAAACAAAAAAGTGATTTGCATTTTGACGGATCTCTGGAATAGATGGTGCTCCAACTAGTAAATTTGTGTCATCAGCATATTGGGTCAAATTAAAATAATTTCTATTCATTTCATAAGAGTTTATGTCATTCAAATAAATAATAAACAGATATGGTGCAAGTATACTTCCCTGAGGGACACCCACTGTATTCTGTGCGATTTCCGACTTGTATATGTTCCCATTTCTGTATATCGTGACTCTCTGAGTTCTCTTGTTCAGATAAGATTCAATCCACTTAAAAGCAGGTCCCCTTATCCCATATAGATTTAATTTCTGGAGAAGTAAGTTTCTGTCCAAGCAGTCGAACGCTTTTGACAAATCTAGGAATATTCCAAGGGCCATGTCCCCATCTTCAAGGTGCTTTAGAATTGCGTGCGTAAATTGAAAAATGGCAGTTTGTGTGGATTTTTTCGTCAAGTAGCCATGTTGATTATCAGAAAATACATTACAGTCATTCATAAAATCCATTATTCTTGTGCACACGACAATTTCAAACAGCTTGGAGAATCCAGAAAGCAGACTTATAGGTCTATAGTTGTCAAACGAGTTTTTATCTCCCTTTTGCTTATACAGAGGCCTGATTGCTGCTAGTTTTAGACTCTCAGGAAAGATGCCCTCTCTAAGTGAATTATTTACTATGTAACACAAGACGTCAATGATCGCTGGAATAATCCGACGGATGAGACTTGTAGGTACTTCATCGTCGCCAGAGCTATGTTTGTTTTTTATTCTTTTTGTTAGTTCTAAAATTTCTTTGGGATTAACAGGTTTTAAAAATAGAGATCTATCATTTTCTTGAATATTGATTTTGTAATTTACATGCTGAATTTTCTTCTGTAACTCTGGAATTGCATTGAGTAAAAAAGTATTGTAATTGTTTGCAATTTCTGTAGGATTTCCAGTGATCATTGTGTCATTCACCTGTGAGTTGTTTCCAGTTACTTCTTTAAAGATGGACCACATACATTTATTTTTGTTCTCCGAATTATTTATTCTTTTTTTATAACTATCAGATCTAGCTTTTATTAGTAATTGATCATATTCCTTTTTTACAATGGAGTAAGATTCATTAAAGTTGTTATTTTTGCGTTTTAGCATTAAAAGAATATCTAATCTATTTTTAACGTTTTGTATTTGTTCGTTTTTATGATACAATGGCTTTTTTTTCTGCCCTTGACCCATACTGACTAATTTTTTTGGAAAGTTCTCGTTAAAGATAGATAGAAAAGTTTGCATGAAAACATACCATTGCTGATTAACATCGTTATGATGTGCTTCAAAAACTTCCTCCCATTTTTCTTGAGTTAATAAAGTGAAAAATTCTTGCCTACTCACTTCACTAAAAAATCTTTTATAATAGCTGATTGTTTTGGGGACATGATTACAACTTAACACAATCTTCTGGGCAGCATGATCTGAAATTGTGGTGTCAATTACACAACTTGACATATTTTCCTCTGTGACGTTTGTAAAAATATTGTCTATACAGCTTTGTGATGATGGTGTAATTCTGGTATTTTCTGATATTGTCGGATATAAGTCGAAAGAGTTCATAACCGACAAAATTTGTGATTTAGAATTGTTTTGTTTAAGAAATTCTATGTTGAAGTCACCAGCAATAAATACCTTTGTATTTTCATTAATTATTTTTACCAAAACAAGCTCCAGTTTTTTTAGGAATAATTTAATGTCACTTTTGGGGGATCTATAAATCACAGCCACAACAAAGAGTTCGTTTTCTAGATTGAATTCCACGCAAGCACATTCAAAAACACCTTCAACTGAAAGATTGTCAATTTTCCGCTTTCTTGAGAATGTTATGTCCCTATGTAAATACACTGCTACTCCTCCATATCCATTTTTTCTACAGAAGTATGATGCTAAGCTGAAGTCAGATATACTGGTTGTCTTCAGTTCATCAATAGCTGACAGCAATGTATTTTTAATGGGAAAGCTCAAGTACCAGTCGAGGTCAGTTGAACCGAGATTGTACAACTGGGGCTTAGTGTTAGATAAAATCTAACACACGACGGATCGCGTTATAGGAATGGTAGCGACCGATCCCGGGTTAAAGAACTCAATAGACTCATCGGCTGATCAGCTTTGTCACCTTCTATTGAAAACTTAATAATGATAAAAACACAAATCTTAACGTTTTTAGAAGGAACCATTGACATCTTTGCCGATTTTGTCTAAAAACGTGTTGATTTAAGTAAAATCTCAAGTGTGGTCTTCAGAAAGGAGAAAAGGATAAGCTTTGCAAATTGATAAACCCCTGATCTATTCACAATTACGAAATATTACAATAATTAAGCAGTGGACACCCTGCATGGTACAAAAATAGTATCTGACTCAGAACTTCTGAGTAAACCCTTCTGCTCTATTTACCTTTTGTCTCATGTTCAGTGCTTGCTTCATCGAATCTGGCACGTTTTCGGGGCGGCGAAAGACTAACATTCACGTCCACGGGCTGCAGTACACCTTCTCCAGACATTTTTTTTGAAATAGATCCAAAAATTACATGTTCAACTAAAGTTCCCTCCAAAAGTACTGCAGAGAAGTTTTGCCGAAAAAAAAAAACGACAGCAAGTATCAACAGCTGACAGATTGAGGTTAGTTGAGTAGTCAGCATTGATATAGCGATTTCATTTGTACCTGTTGTTGTTTTGCTTGTTCTACGATCTGCTTGGAGCAAGAAGAGCAAGTACAAAATAGAAGGATTGACTTTACAGTGCATGCATAATCGATGATATACATGTCTCTTCAAAACCCCGCACCAAAAATAATACCCACAGGCAAGGTTCCTAAAGTTCATAGGTTGCCTGATAATGGATAACCTGATAACGCGTCTGGGGTGCCTTATGGAGATTTGCATTATATTGAGGCCCCCCAGATGACGTCATAACGTGATCAATCAACCTACCTCTCTCAAACAACCTTGACCCACAGGTTCGTTAAAATACCCGAATTTCAGGTAATTTCGCGCAAATCGGCAGCGCAGGCACTTTTGTCATATAACACATTTGGCTAGAGGTTGAGAACTATCGATGTTGGCACGATCGATAATAATTATCGATAGTAAAATGCAATCGATAGAATTCAAACCCAAACTGCAATTTACTGGAAAAATAAACACCTATTTTCTTTTATCATTAACAGTAAAACAGAAAAAAAACCACACTACAAACATAGTATAAATTAAAAGTTTATTCAATACCGATAGTATGGGTCCAATACTCAATTAATCGTGCAACATTTTGAATTCAGTAGCTCCCCTATAAGGTCTATCACATAAATCACAAAAAGAATAATAATTTGTAACAAAATAAAAAGTGCGTTTATTACATAATGTTAATTTTAATTACTTATCTCAAGATAAATTGGCTATAACACTAAAAGATGTTGTGAATGGCGGACGCTGTATCGTTGTCCTTAAATACAGTGTTCACCATTTGTATTATAAAATTAGATGTTACGGGGCTAAATTTATTTTTTCCAGTCATCCTTTTCATAGTCCCATTTGGAGGAGATTCCTTCGATGGGATTTACTTGTAGGTCGAGAATACGACGGAATTGGGCTGCTCTGTTCTCTTCTTTGAACGAATCTGGCAATGGAGCATAAACTATCGAAAATAAAATTGTATTAGAATCTATTGGTAATGGAAAACAGGGAATTTGGAAGAAACTAGAATAAAGCAAATGGTTTCGATACAATTTACTTGTGATTTGATAAAAATAAAAATTTTCTCACCAAATGTTTTCAATCCAAAAAATACCCATAAGGCGGCAGATATCAAACTCAGAGTGACTCCGACCATGTATTTCCATTCACCAGTAGGAGCTTTAAATTCAGCAAAGGTTTGTCTGAAAGAAGCTCTGTATAGGGCTTTCTTATCTTCAATGGAAAGCTGTTTCCAGTCTCCCTTTTCTCTTTCACGTAGAGCCTGATGGGAAAAATAATTAGTGTAAACATTAGCTTATGAAAATCAATAATTATTTGGAGAATTTCATACATCTGTCAAAACTCGTATTCCAACAATAAATTGACATGTTTTGATTGTTGATTTGAACCAATCAGATTGTAATTACGCGATAATTTGCACTAGTGCAAATTATCAGATAATTGCATACTAACTGGTGCGAAAACTGGTGTTTTGACATTTTTTGAAAAAAAATTTAAATTTTTGATTTATGAAATTCTCTCATTAAATACAACTCGTGCAATGGAAATATATTTATAATTTTCAACAAATTTGCACTCATGCGTTTTTAACTGAAAAATGCATTCGGGCAAATTTCCCAAAAATTATCAATAATTTCCATTGCACTAGTTTTATTACTATTGATAATTATTTTTAAGAAATCTGATTGGTCAGTTGCAACAAACATAAAAAAATTCCAAGTTCTTACCAAGATGTCAGCATTTGGTTCCTGCCACCTAATGGCTGGCAATGGAAAATCGGAACGGTCAACATAATTAGGTTCTCCATTGTAACCGTAGCCCACTATTTCCCTTTTGCCAATGAGGGTTCTGGTGTAGGAGCCTTCAACTCCACCGCTCATCGCAGCCGATTGGATAACTAAAGGTTTGCTGATGGCATTTCTGATTAATTGTCTGGCGCCCAGCGCTAACAGTGTGTTAGCCATGGTGAAGCTGGAAAAAAATAAAAAAATAAGGTAATAGTTGAACAGTACTTATTTCAACTGTACTGTATGTGGATCAAAAACACGGATTCAGAAAACACATCAGAACTTTGGATTAATTTCAAATAGTCTCCCAGAAAAATTATGCTGATTAAGTTTTATTGGATCAGGCTTAGATGAGTTACTAAATTAGCTGAAACATATAGACTAGCTGTCTGAAAAGCTTACTGTAATGGTACCAATAATCTATAAATGTAAAAATTATCTGACCCATAAAAGACAAATGATCCCACTATTCAGAAACACCCTGTATATAAGGCTTGTTTTTTCAATGCACCTGAGATAACTCATTAAAATCTGAAACAATAATAAAATTAAATTTATGTATGTATGTTCCGAAGGAACATACCAATCTTGGGAATATATGAATTTAATATAAAGGATTCATTTTATCAACAACTCAATAACCAAATCATAAAAGAAGGAATTTCAAGGAAAATAATATTGCTAGGAGACTTTAATGAACAAACAGGAAAAAAGAATCGACGACAAGGTAGTCGGAAAATTTGGAGGAAATGTAACAAATAACAATGGACAAAGGCTCATAGCAATATGAGCAGAAACACCGAACAAGACAACGGAAAGAGGAAACATTAAGACAATATTGTGTCTGAAAAATACAACCTAAAGGGTATATGTAATCCCATTATTGGTCAACCAATTATCCAGCGACCAACAGAATTATAGATCTGTAAATTTATCTTGCAGATATAGATAGATAAACTTGATAGTAAGTTTATCTCAAGATGAATAAACCGAGCCTAAGATAGAGAACATTAGATGTTAGCGAATATAATTTTAATACAAAAACAGTTCTGCGAGAAAGTCGTCTGATCCAAATCCATTCAAACATTTAAAATGCTGGAGGATGTCTTCCAGCAGGTCTTTTTTCCTATTACAACAAACATACCTGCAGCAAGTCGTTATGACGTCGATTTTAAATAGATTTACGTCAATTAATGGCATTGCATTTTTGGGGTAACTGTTCTAATAAATTGTTTGATTCTGTTTTTGTCATTCTAAAAAGAGCAGTGCGCTATTTGTATAGGGTTGGATATTGGGAGCATTGCAAGCCACTATTTTTAAAACATAAAATACTCACAGTATGCTGTATATTCATCATGGAAACTGCTTGCCTTATGCACAAAAAACATTATGATGAGTTGGAATATCCAAGAACTTATCCAACTAGGCAACATCTTAAAATTCAGCTCCCTATACCGATACCCAAGACTGCATTGATGCAAAATTTACTTATTTTTGAAAGTAGGCAAATTTTTAATCACCTGCCTGTTAACTTAGGGCAGATAGGTGGTTTTTAAAAAGTTTAGACTAGAGCTCAAAACATTTTTACATGGAAAAGCCTACTATCATATCAATGAATTTTTAAATGAAAAATTTTACTTTTGTTTGTTTCATTGGTTTGTTTTGTTCTGAGCTCAACCTTTATGTTTCTCCTGTATTGGCTGTACCTTCTATATGACTCTATAGTTTGATGTAGTAATTGTACATGTGTTGCTTAGGATTATGCTTTGACATTTATGTTTATGTTTATTTTTTATTTTATTGGTTGTACCTTGTACAAATTCAAGTATAAGAAGTATGTAGAAACTAGAAATGATATATTAGTTGAGGGTGGATGGTGACTTAATTGAGATTGTATCCAATATTAAATATCTTGGGTTTCAAATGGATAGTTTGTTGAATTTTGATAAGCACTTTGAATATACGGGTGTCCCACGGTGGATGGCGTATTAGACGTTTATGGAGAACTGAAAAGCGGATCATTTTGAAAATTTGGCAACCGGGATAAACGACCATAATCTACACTTTAAAAATATTTTTGTTTATGCGGTGTTGCCGCTTCTACCCTAAACCAGTGGCAACAGCGCTATTTTAAATGGAACACCCTGTATCTGATTACATATTTGGATTTTACGTAAAATTCTGAGCAGATTTCATGTGATATATCCTATACTTACCTAAGTTCAACTGTTTTGGAATTATTGACAGTTGAAAATCGACTTTTTGCAACTTTGGCAGGCTGTAAAACCTGAACGGTTAATTTTAGAGAAAACCCGATTTTACATTCCTATCTTAGATTTTTATAAACTATCATTTGATACCAACTTCAAATTTAATCCATGATTAAAAATTCCAATTAAATTTAATCTCCGGGTAAATTCAAAGTTGGTGTCAAATGATAGTTCATGAAACTGTAAGATAGGAATGCGATATTGGTTTTTCTCTTAAATTAACCGTTCAGGTTTTACAGCCTGTCAAAGTTGCAAAAAGTCAATTTTCAACTGTCAATAATTCCAAAAACAGTTGAACTTAGGTATAGGGTATATCACATGAAATCTGCTCAGAATTTTACGTAGAATCAAAATATGTAATCACATACAGGGTATTCCATTTAAAATAGCGTTGTTGCCACTGGTTTAGAGTAGAAGCGGCAACACCGCATAAACAAAAATATTTTTAAAGTGTAGATCATGGCTGTTTACCCCGGTTGCCAAATTTTCAAAATGATCCGCTTTTTAGTTCTCCATAAACGTCTAATACGCCATCCACTGTGGGACACCCTGTATGCTCAAAAAAATATCAAAAAAACTGTATTTTTTTAGTAGAATTGCAAACAACTTAACTATTCAAACTAAGATTTTTGTTTGTAATTCAATACTACAACCACACTTTGATTATTGTTCTTCAATACTGTACAGGGTGGACCAAATTGGACACTTTCTTATGGAAACACCCTTTATTTTTAGAGATAGAAAAAAATGGACCCCCCACTCTGAGGCTCAAATTTCATGAAATCTTGATTGGTGCAAACCGCATTTTGATATCTTCAACCGTTTAGCCGCTAGGGGGCGATTCTCGATTTTGAGCAATACTGTAAAGCCTCCATAACTTTCTTGTTTATGAAAATAATTCATTTCCGTAAAAACCTTTTGGTAGCACTTTTTTAAGCAGAATTCAGTGACATTCTCAGTTTTTTTCTGTCTGACTTCGATTTCGAGATATTGACCAAAATCCGATTTTTTTCAATAGGACACTCTATATATTAATAGTTCATTAGAAAGCTATGCTTTCGCTGATTTTAATGATACAAGGTTTGATAGGTTTATCTCTAACAGTTTTCGAGAAAAAAAATTATTTCGGTTTTTGTCATAAGAAACAATATGTTGGAAAAGGACTTTATCTCTGTAAGGAAACTGAGAAAGGTCTCTTTCTTACACATTGTTTCTTATGACAAAAACTGAAATAATTTTTTTTCTCGAAAACTGTTAAAGATAAACCTATCAAACCTGTATCATTAAAATCAGCGAAAGCATAGCTTTCTAATGAACTATTAATATATAGAGTGTCCTATTGAAAAAAATCGGATTTTGGTCAATATCTCGAAATCGAAGCCAGACAGAAAAAAACTGAGAACGTCACTGAATTCTGCTTGAAAAAGTGCTTCCGAAAGGTCTTTACGGAAATAAATTATTTCCATAAACAAAAAAGTTATGGAGGCTTTACAGTATTGCTCAAAGTCGAGAATCGCCCTCTAGCGGCTAAACGGTTGAAGATATCAAAATGCGGTTTGCACCTATCAAAATTTCATGAAATTTGATCCTCAGAGTGGGGGGTTCATTTTTTTCTATCTTTAAAAATAAAGGGTGTTTCCCGAGGGGGTAACATCTTCTTGAATTTTGTGACAGTATTGCGACAATCCCTACGATTTTCCTAAGATTGCTGCGATTGCGACTGCAATCCGGGATTGTGAGGCGAGTGTTAGATTTTGGAGGATTGCATTGTGACTGCATATGATTGTGAATGATTGCAGACAATTGTGAATGATTGCAGACGATTGTAGGCGATTGCGAGTGACTCAGAAAGATGTTTGGTAGCTGCTTGAGTTACTGAGTTACACTGACATATTATTATCTCAAGGAACATATTTATTTATTTTAGCCATTAGATTATAGATTTTTATTTATTAACCCACACATAAAAATACGAGTAAAAATATGAACAAATATATTTTGCTATTCTTTCAAGGATTTCAAAGTTGTACATGGGTATGTACAGGGTCTGTTCCTTTCTTGCTCATGAATAGTGTTTATAGTGTCGCTTCTACAACTTGAACAAAAAAAAAAATAATAATAAAAAAAGTTAAATACAAAAGTTGTAGGGTTTTATCTCTATCATCTTTTGCACATGCATATGTCAAAACGGGTAAATGGCAGGTGTCAACAAACACTTGCATTTTTTCAAATGGAACACCCTGTATCTTTTTGAATAAAATGATATATTTCTTCTGATTCCAAATATACCATATACAAATGTTGATATTTGGTTCAGCAGTTTTTACGATATCTAAGTTTTAAAATGCATTTTCATTACCCTAAATCAGGTTGGTTCCTGGTTCCTTAAATCAATGGTGAGGCTTACTTAATGCAATTTTGGTATGGTGTTTTTGAACTCAGAAGGAAAAGATCAATCATGCTAGCCAAAAATATAATAGAGATAATACCCTACAACTTTTGTATTTAACTTTTTTTTTTTGTTTAAGTTGTAGAAGCCGCACTACTATACCTATAACAAAGTTGAATGGATATATATATTTTTTCAATATCTTGAGCCTATTCGCAATATCCTCCTTGTCTTGCTTTCTGAGATGAAAAGGGTGTTCCACCGGGAACCGAATCGATCTATACCTATATGGAAAACTGTATGCAGAAAATTTTTGAAAATTTGACAGTATAGGTGCTAATGTCAGTAGGGGCAACCCGGCTAAAATATTTTCAAAATGGTGGCACTTCCGGTTATACCGAAAGAAGACGTCAACTTGCTTATTTCAAATGAGATACCCTATGTGATTGCATATTTGGATTCTACGTAAAATTCTGAGCAAATTCATGCAATATACCCTATACTTAAGTTCAACTGTTTTGGAAA